AATCGCCATAGGAAACATCGCTAAGCGAAACACGGTTCCCCAATTGAAATGCATTGAAACTTATTCAGTGCATCTCAATGGGGGAAAAAATTACAACAAATTTTAAAAGAGTCGGAACAAAGTCAAATTAGTTTAACAAAGGGTTTATTAAGTGCACTTATGATTTCAAGCATTCTAAACATTGTTTAAACATTGTTTAAACATTTAAAAACAGCCAACATGAGGCTGTCAAAACCATCGCTAAGCGAAACGGGGACCCAAACTGTCATCGCTATGCGAAGCATGGTCTCAAACATCACTATGCGAAAATCGCCCATAGGAACCATTGTTAAACAGAGCACAAGATCGCTCCAAAAAAAGTCATTGCTAAGCGATTTCATCGTTAAATGAAGCAATCGCTAAGCGAGGCACCACTCTACATACTTCTTAGTAAACATGCCAAATTTCAGATGTATTGGTTGCAAGATCTTGCAGCTGTGGATTCCGACTAGAAATGGGAGTATTTGTATACGAATACCCCTGCACAGCTGGATTTAACGAGGGCCCAGCCCCTATGGCTGGACCATCCATTCACATGTCTGGCAGCAGCAACAGTAGCCTCAGTCAGCCTTCGCTCCTGGAGCTGCTCTCTCTTTCCACTCATCTAGCTAACAGTATGTGATGTGTGTGCATGTTTGGCCTGGATCAAGTGAAAAATCAGAGAGAGTTAGGACACAAAAGATGGAGACCAACAGAACCAGAGGAACTATGGGACTTTGTATTTCTAGCTAGAAGCCTTCATTGTGAGAAATTCAATTTTTGAACTGTGAATGTTTTGAACTAAGTTTGTTTTAAACTAAGTTGACAAAAACCATCTGCTAAGGGAGTGGAGCAAACTCGAGGGTTTAGAAGAGCCTGGTACGAGGATCCTCCTGAGCAAAGCAGATTCCAAACCTGTCCACTAAGTGATGGAAGATGTATTAAGCATTGTGCACTTCACAATAAGTGATAAGGAACATATATCTAAAGAAATCTCTACCACGCATGCCTTGTGAGCAACCTGAGACAAAGAAATGTCTTCTACGCATGCTCTACTAAAAATAGAAATAAGAATATAAGAAGAGGGGTCTGGGCAAACATTAGTCTGTCTGTTTGTCTGCTGAGACCAAAACAGTACTTTCTTTGAAACTACTGTACTTTCTTTTAAACCTTGACAATGCAGATAAAGAATTCTTCTCTCTTTGGTGAGTATGTATGTGGTGTGAATGCTGAATGCATGAAACCCCTTTATTTAGAATTGTAATTAATAGGTAATATAGTATATTTATTTTTGCATTTATTAATGTGTCTTGTGAGGTCCTTTGCTGTTTAATATTGTTTTTCCTGGGAATCAAAAGAACCAGTAGTCACCCTTTTGTGACATTCAGGCAGAGGGAGGGAGGATGAGACTCCCTGCATGGGTGCTGAGTGGTTAGGTGAGCAGAAAGAGAGCGGTGCTCTGGGAGCTTTGTGACATTCAGGCAGAGGGTGGGAGGATGAGACTCCCTGCATGGATGCTGAGTGGTTAGGTGAGCAGAAAGAGCGGTGCTCTGGGAGCGATTGGAAGGCCGACTGAGGCAGCTGCCACTATCGGACACGTGAATGGACAGTCCAGCCCCAGGGGCTGGGTCCTCATTAAGTCCAGCTGTACAGGGATATTCAAATTCCAACCCATATTCAGGCAGAGGGTGGGAGGATGAGACTCCCTGCATGGATGCTGAGTGGTTAGGTGAGCAGAAAGAGCGGTGCTCTGGGAGCGATTGGAAGGCCGACTGAGGCAGCTGCCACTATCGGACACGTGAATGGACAGTCCAGCCCCAGGGGCTGGGTCCTCATTAAGTCCAGCTGTACAGGGATATTCAAATTCCAACCCATAAATATACATTATCTCTTCTTATATCTGTGTTTACCAAGAATCTATAGATATACATTTATATAAAATTAAATCATAAGAAAGACTGTTGAATTTGTTTAGATTACGTTGTATTGTGTTTTGATAGTTTTTAAGGTAGTGTTGACAAGTTTATTGTCACTTATGCTTGGAAAAACAGGATACTGTTCATGGGTATGAAGCCAGTTCCTTTAGTGGATTTACTTGGAGAGAAGAGTTTAACTGAAACCATTACCTTACAGAGAGATTTATAAATAGGACTAGTGTTCTGACATGTTAGTGAGGTGTTGTCTACATGAAATCCTGTCCCAAGCCAGTTACTGTTTCTGAAGTCTTCACTAGGCATCACTGTTATTTCTTTAACATTTTCTTTTATAATGGGACCTTAGAACTTTCAGCTTTCTTTTGAATATTTCAATGTATCATAGCATTTATTTATTCATTTATTATTTATGAAAATGCTTACTGAATTGTGTAGATATTTTATTTGCTATCCAGACCAGTTAAATATTGCGTGTTCGGAGGTAAAGGCACAAAGTAATATGAGGTTGAATGCCTATTTGGTAATGCTCAAAACAAGCTTATTAACATGAGTTAACTTAAGTTGGCCATTACTGTACTAATGTTGTTGTCGTTTAGTCGTGTTCCAACTCTTCGTGAGCCCATGGACCAGAGCACGCCAGGCACTCCTATCTTCCACTGCCTCCTGGAGTTGTGTCAAATTCATGTTGGTTGCTTCAATGACACTGTCCAACCATCTCATCTTCTGCCATCCCCTTCTTCTCTTGCCTTCACACTTTCCCAACATCAGGGTCTTTTCCAAGGAGTCTTCTCTTCTCATGAGATGGCCAAAGTATTGGAGCCTCGCAAAGAGCAAGGTCCAGAGCTTGGGGATACATCTGGACCCGGCGCTTACCATGGAAACCCAGGTGACGTCCGTGGCCCGCTCCTCCTATTTTCATCTATGGCGGATTGCCCAGCTGCGGCCGTATCTTGATGGGGTGGCCCTCACTACTCTAGTCCATGCACTCGTAATCCCGAGATTAGACCATTGTAACGCACTCTATATGGGGCTGCCTTTGATATTGATGCGGAAACTTCAAATGGTGCAGAGTGCGGCAGCCAGGCTTCTTAGTGGGGCGAGGAAATATCAGCATATTTCCCCCACTCTGGCTGCTTTGCATTGGCTGCCCATTCATTTCTACATTGATTTCAAAGTGTTAATGATGACACATAAAGCCCTAAACGTTTTAGGACCTCGATATCTAGCGGAATGCCTTCTCCCACCTAGATCTACTCGAATCACTCGTTCTAACCAGGAGGGATGGCTGAGTTGCCCAACGCCGAGAGATGTCCGGAAAGAAAGAACAAGAAACCGGGCAATGATTTACATAAGTCTTAAAATCTGATGTTTTAAAGGTTTTATATTTGTTATTGTGATGTTTTTATCATGTAAGTAAGCTGCCCCAGGGTCTAGGGGGCGGGCTAAAAATCTAATAAAAGTAAAAGTAAAGTAAAAGCCTCAGCTTCAGAATCTGTCCCTACAGTGAGCACTCAGGGTTGATTTCTTTTAGAATTGATAGGTTTGTTCTCCTTGCAGTCCAGAGGAACCTGAGAACTATAATCCAGTCAGCCTGATCTCAAACCCAGGAAAAATTCTGAAACAAATTATAAAACGATCACTATGCAAGCATCAGCTCCCTGGAAGGACAGATCCTGAAGCTAACGCTCCAATACTTTGGCCATCTCATGAGAAGAGAAGACTCCCTGGAAAAGCCCCTGATGTTGGGAAAGTGTGAAGGCAAGAGGAGAAGGGGACGACAGAGGATGAGATGGCTGGGCAGTGTCTGCAAAGCAACCAACATGAATTTGGCCCAGCTCCGGGAGGCAGTGGAAGACAGGACGGCCTGGCGTGCTCTGGTCCATGGGGTCACAAAGAGTCGGACACGACTAAATGACTAAACAAACAAACAATAGTCTTATACATGGACAAATACGGGAAGTTCTTGTATGCAAGGGAAATGTGAACTATGTGAATAAGGTTGCCTTGTACAGGATATAGGCTGCCTTAAAGTGCAGTATAGAAAGGATTTCAAACTTGGGAAAGGCTTTTTTGTTAGTAGAATCACTACCTTGTGTAATATATCCTTGGAAAGCTGCATGCAATCTTGAAATAGTATTCAGGTGTGTTTGTATCTGTGTCAGACTGGATCTTTGAATAAGTATGAGAAGGAAGATTTGTACATTTTTGCTGCATTGTCACCGCTAGTGTTGGTTTTCTGAAGAAAGCTTTTTGAACTGAATTTTTCTCATTTCTTCAAATACCTTGTGCTCTAATTTTAAAAAGGAAAAAAAAGCCAAAACTGCCATCTCATAATGGAAGGAGAGGAAAACAGCTCTTATCAAACCTTCCATACTATCTATCTATAAGAAGAACCACATGTCAGGAACAGCCCTGAGCTCTGGAGGTTTTAAATTAATTTTCTAAAGAGATGGTCATTTTTTGCCTCACCCTGAAGCCCTGGCTGCCAGCCTTTTCATCAACATCAATGAATAATTCTGTCAAACCCATTCTACGAACAGAGTCTAATGGGGAAATCAGTACAGCACAGTATGGTATTACCACTCTTAGAATGCACTCTTTAGAATTCATGCAGGGACATTCTGTGACCAAGAACCTCACATCTTGTTTTACTCTCTTTTTAGAAAAACATGGGTGGTTGGACAAGTATAAGTGCTGAAAAAATATATATGGTATATTATGTAGACAGCTTAAACTGATTTTATATTCTAGTACCATTATAAAAGGTAATACTGCAGTACTAACTAAACTACTGTCATTTCTTAACTTTTTTTGTTACAGATGGTGAATTGAATGTTCTTGATGATATCTTGACTGATGCACCAGATCACGATGATGAACTGTACAATCCTGATAGTGAGCAAGATAAAAGTGAGAAAAAGGGTATGCTTCTTCACTAGATGGGCATTTCTCCATAATGCTGGGAAATCAGACCATAGGCCCAAACTACATCAACCACACCAGTAGCTGTAGGGTGAACCACATTTTGTCTAATTTTGCAGTTATACTGGGTTGTTGTAGCAAATGTGTAAAGTTTTGTCAACATACACAAAGACTTATTCTTATGTGTGCTTGTTGGGCCTTTTCTCTGTGGCTTTTCCTCCTTTTTTCCACTTTATTTCACTTAGCATTGCTGTTTCCTTTTGAAATGTCCTCTTTCCCTCTCATCCCAACTTTTCTCAAGTAACTTTGGCTAGTCAGAGAAAATTGTCTATTTCCATGTATAGAAAAAAACTCACTATACAGCCCTCTGAGGTTGCAGATCTCTTTTGCCAGAACTATTAAGATTCTCTATGGAAAATAAAATGCCAAATAAAATACAATTTGTCAAAAAGAAACTGTGCTACTATAAATTGCACCTTCTCAACCATGTTTATCTGAGGTCTTTGGACATGTATACAGGAAGCCATCTGTTTCTAAGAGAAGGAAGGTGGGAATTTTATGAGCAGAAAGATTTAATAAAGTCCATGATGATAATGCTTGCCCTTAAAATATCACCCTGGCTGAAAAATTAAGTCATTGCCATCACTTATTATTACAATGGTTAGTTGGTCATTAGAAATCAAACAAGACAAACAGATAAAATAGGTATTGTTTATTTTATAAGAATACCCAAAGCTTCTCCATCTTAAAAAAGAAATCTCAGACAGATCTGATTAAAAGCAAAGCAAAAAGCGTGCTGCTTATATACTGCCCCATAGTGCTTCAAGCACTCTCTGGGCAGTTTACAAGTTAATTATGCAGGCTACACATTACCCCCCCTCCCCCCAGCGAGCTGAGTACTCATTTTACCAACCTCGGAAAGATAGAAGGCTGAGTCAACCTTGAGCCGCTACCTGGGATTGAACCCCAGGTCGTGAGCACAGTTTTGGCTGCAGTATATCTGTTTCCTCTTCTCTGGTTCCTCAAGTGAAAACATAACTAAGGTGACAGAATTCTGTAAAATGACATATTTAACCAGAAAGTAATTGGTAAACCACTCACATTGGAAATAATGCACAGCTATATAACACATTTGTTTTCTGTACATACTTGTGATTCTTTTTTTTAATGGGCTTCTAACTCCAAGTATAACAATCCCAAAGAAAAATATTGGTTGTTCACTATTTGATTTTGCTTCATATGCTGGATCAACAAAACAGGCAGTAAATGATGTCCATTTCAATCAGATGGGGTACATTTGGTACTGTTGAGGAGTAATCCTGCCTTAATTATAATATGTAATGCTTATGTGAATTCTAGATTGATCGTATTGTGTTTTAAGAAATATAATTTCTTTTTAAAATCATCTAAATATCATTGGCACTAAGTTATAGAAGAAGAAAAACAAATTAGTGGCAGGTGGTCTGCAGTTTATTTGTTTCTGCTTAGGGATAAGCAGAAATAACTTTTCTTTCCTGCAGGTCATGGCAAACCTGTTCGTTTGTTCTCTGCTCATTTCTTAGGTTTATCAGAAAAATGTCAAGCCAGAGTGCCAGGTTTCATGTCACAGTAACAGTAGCCATCATTGAACGGCCATGGTGACTTTATCCACTCTTGCTTGCAGTGGGACCAGTCAGACTATTTTCACCTTCATGCAGCTCATGATTTCCATGGAAGTCAGGCTCATTGTCCAGACCTGGTTATTGTGATTAGATCATTTCCAGGTCATTTTGACCATCAGGTTTCTCAACTACGCTGTTTCCCTGAAAATAAGACAGAGTCTTATATTAATTTTTGCTTTTTAAAAAACTCATTAGGGCTTATTTTTAGGGGATGTTTTATTTTTTTCAGGTACAGTAACCTACATTTATTCAGATACAGTCATGTCATCTTCTGGCTGCTGCACAATAGTGGAGGGCAGCGTTTCACTTAACTAGGGCTTACTTTTGGGGTAGGGCTTATATTACAAGCATCCTGAAAAATCCTACTAGGGCTTACTTTCAGGTTAGGTCTTATTTTCAGGGAAACAGGGTAATTGTTGAGAAATATTAGGTTTTTCCATGTTGCAACTCATTGACTGAAACTCTGTTGCTTTTTTAAACGCAAAAAGCAAAAGGCATTCAGTCATTTCTAGCTGGCAGTTGGCAAGCATGATTCTTAGGGCATAAACTGATTTGGGGCACATTCAAGCATCCCAGCAGGATGTATTCTCAAAGGCTTTCACGGCTGGGATCCGATGGTTGTTGTAGGTTTTTCGGGCTGTTTGGCCGTGTTTTGGACAATGGCCAAACAGCCTGAAAAACCTACAACAACCATCCCAGCAGGAACTTATTAATTGCTGCCTGGAAGTGAGTGAGTAATACACCTTTTGCCTGCTTAATAAAACAACAGGATTTCAGCTGTTTTCTGTTAAAAAACTATTTAAACAAGGCTTAATGTGTTTTGTCTCATGCTCTGTTTGAAAAATATTTGCTCATCTTCTTTTATGAAGATAGCTTTGATAGGCTTTTGTTAATGCTGTTAGGTTACTGTAAAATGCTTCAGAATTTGTTTTGTTTTAATTTTAAATGTAAGGATCCAAACGGAAAAGTGATAGAATGGAGACTGCCGAGAGTAAAAAGCAGAAGCCTTCTGTGCATTCTTCAAGGCAGATGTTACCTAAGCTTCCAGGATCATCTGTTAGCAACAACAAAAGAATAGTGAGCACAAAGGGAAAACCTGTATTGGAATACAAGAATGAGGAATATCAGAGGTCTGACAGAAACAAGCGACCAGAAAGTGACAGAAAGATGCGTATGACAAGCAGCAGCTCAAGAGATCTCTATAAAGGGCAATCAGAAAAGGCATGCGTGAGGAAAAGAGATTCTGACAGAAGGGCAAAATCTTCTACTCCAGATGCCTCTAGGGTAGGCATTTTCTTTTTCTTTTTCTTAGTGTATAATTTCATGAGTAAAGGATGTTGAAGTTGCCTGCCATTTATAATCCTACTTTGAGGCCTTCTTTTATTCCACAAAACAGAAGTAAGGTTTGTGGAATGACGGAACATGGCTTCTTTGGCAGCACGCACATTTCCTCTCTAGAAAGGCTAGATTGACTTCATGAGCACTCAGCTTTAGATAGTGCTTCAAAGATAACTCTGTTTTTCACTCACATTGTTTCCTGTAATTTATTTTGTTAAATATGTTCACTGGTTTGAAGTTACCAGTAAATCAAAAAGGTTGGTTTATAAATACTTTAATAAAGCAATTGTATAATTAAATAATTTAAATTAGACACATTAAGTACAACTGTTCTTTAAAGTGAGTGCCGAAAATTCAGTAAGCATTTTATTACAATGCTTTTCAGCACCTAAAATACCAAGCACTAACTATGGTTAATTTTCTTTTAAACAGAGACTGGGGCATGATGTGGACAGACGGCCAAGTAGGTCCAGCCACTCTTCAAAAGAGGAGGTGAATTCTGAAGAGTATGTTTCAGATCGTGAAACAGGTAGCAGTGGTTCCTCTGACCCAGGAAACACTGAGAATGAGGATGAAGAGGAGGAGGAGGGAATGGAAGAAGAAGAGGAAGAGGAAGATGATGATGGAGAGGAGGAGGAGGAAGTGGAAGAAGATGGGGATGATGATGAAGAGGATTATGATCAAGATGAGAGAGATCAGAAGGAAGGAAATGATTATGACACTAGAAGTGAAGCTAGTGATTCTGACTCTGAATCTGCATCCTTTACTGATGGGTCAGTCAGATCTGGTTCAGGCTCAGATATATCAGGTAGTGGGGTAATTTCTTTCTGAACTATATTTGTCAATGTTCTTATACTAAAATTGGCTTTGTGACTGGCAAATGATAGAAAAGCCCACCATCATGGATAACACAGTAACAAAGTGACTCTATGAGGATGAGAAAAAAATATTTGAAGTATATCAGTTCTGGAACAAGAGTTATATAGCAAAATTGGGTTATAACCAAACAGACGTTGGAGGTATTCAACAGTAAGTTGACCCAAAGCTGTAGTAAATGCCAGTAATATACTGCAGTTTTACAAAAGCAGAGCAAACAACAGGGATTTAGTGGAATTTAAAACTTCTAGTAAAATTCCCTGTTTCTAAGAATGTATGTTCTAGTCTGCTCACTTTAAACATGAAGTCCCTCCCCTCTACCCAACTCTTTTCATGTTTTCATTTCAATACTGTTCCAAAGCTGGATGACAAATAGTCTAATTTTAGGTGCATCAACAATAGGGGTAGTTTTTGTGGCATGTTGTTGCTGCAGTTTTCTTGGCTGGATCTTCCACCATTGAGTAACATTTAAATAACGTGGTTCCAGGTTGAATAATAAGGTTTCAGGTTTCAGTTCTGTATCACATCTACCTGGGAGTCAGTGGCACTGATATGAGATCTTCTGGTATACTTCTATTATTCAGACATTATGAGTGACATATAGTCAATCCCATGTAGAAGAAGAAAGTTCACTTTACTGACACTTTTAAGTAGACCTTTTTGGAGATATTCATTGTCTTTATATCTAAGACTGTGTAAAATTTCCTAAAAGCATTATTATACGTAGGATTTCTAAAGCTCAAAAAGTCAACTTGTGCTAATCCAGCAGAAATATTGACTGGACACATGGGAGATAGGTAGATATAGGCAATGAGATACAAACTGCACACTGTGTTACAAGCTGATCTTGAAATGTACCTGAGTTTCCAAAGCAGCTTTTCATGTGATGTGAAACATTGCTGTTGAAAGCAAAACACTCCCAGATTCCCTTAATGTCTGGAAACTAATTCCATGTTTCTTTGTCTGAAGTATCAATCAGTTATAAGGTAGGGTTTTCAAACCTTCTCAAGGTTATATACATATACATACATATTTAGTGACTGTATCCTATATTGACCTGCTTGCATCATTTCTGATGGAAGTGTTTTGGTTTGAACTTTAAAAGTTCTGCTGTTGCTTGTTGCTTAGATGAAAAAAAGAAGGCAAGGAAAAGAGCTAGAGGCATCTCTCCAATTGTTTTTGATAGAAGTGGAAGCTCTGCATCAGAGTCATACACAGGTATTCTGTTACTGCTTTTCTTGTGATCTGTAGTAAAACCCTTGAACTGCATTGTTTAAAATAAATAGTGGGTCATAGAAACTTATTGGATATGTAGTTGGACAAACGGTATTTTGGCATGTTTTGTGTGAATAATTTGGACAAGTAGGCTTTCCTGTTATGTTAATGCTCTTCTGTTGCTTAAGTGGAATTTTCACTTTTTCAAACTTGGAAGATGATGATTCATTGACTAGTTTTCTGAGTAGAAAACTGGTCCAACAAAACAAAAACAATGAAACAATTTAAAAATCCAAAACAAACCCTTGTGCACATTGAACAGCATTCTTTTTGTGTATGTGGGTGCGTGTCAAGGGGAATAATTTGTTATGAATGAAAATAGTATGTGAAAAGACTGTAGAATTTGTATCGTATCTCTATTAAGGCTCAATCTGAACAAATGTACTTTGGCTAAACACAGGTTCAGAAAAGAAGCATGAGAAATTATCATCTTCCGTTCGTGCTGTCCAAAAAGGTATAATTTAAATTCGATTTTTAATGCATGCTTCCATTGCAAGTTATTGTGTTGGTCTTTGTTAATTGACATCAAGTACAGTAATGTTCCGATATATAATGATAGTAACTCTCATAAGCAATTGGTATTGTAACCCAGTCTTGAATTATTACTTGCATGGGTTTTTTTGTAATGTCAAAAAAAATTGTTTCTATATTGGTAAGTGAAGAAAGAGAAATTTGCATACCAGTGATTTCTTGAGGAGTATGTAATCTCTTCCATAAGCCAGAAACAAACATATGGGAACATTGCTGATGTTGCATTGGCTGCTATCTGAAATAGCTATTTTGCTTCTACAAGTTTGGCATTGCATGCTGTTTTATGAATTTGAAGTCTAAATTAGATGCTCAGAGCTCTTGAGCTACAGAGGGGCATCCAAACTGGTGCCCTTTAGATGTTTTGGGTCATAGCTTTTATAACCCGTGGCCATTGGTTGTGCTAACTGGGATTTATGGGAGTTGTAGTCCAGACCATCTGGATGGCTCTAGATTGTCTACTGTTAAGTTCCTCTGAAGGGTGCACTTTTTCAAGATTGGCTACCTAGCTTCTATTTATCTAAAGAGGGGTTGTGCGGGGACTCGGTGATAAACACATTGAGGTGAAAGATTGCTGTACCACATTTCTAGTTACTAGTTTCACCATTAAAAAACTAAAAACAACTGCTGTACTGTACTTTTATTTGTGGAAAGGGGGAAAACTATAAATAGAATTGTCTTTTCTTTTCCTTCTAGACCAAACTAGCAAACTTAAATACATCCTGCAAGATGCAAGATTTTTTCTTATCAAAAGTAACAACCATGAGAATGTCTCACTTGCCAAAGCAAAGGTATGCCACATATAGAAGGTTCTTTATTTGTTAAATAAGAGTCTTGTATTGGGAGTTTGATTCCCGACTGTCTCTCCTGGGAGAAGAGCCAACCTGTGTGGCAGTGAGCAAGCTGCACAACCCCAGAAGTGCCCCCAGATGAAGGGAATGGTAAACAACTTCTGAATACTTTGTACCCAGAAAACCTAGGAAGAGCTTCTGTAAGTCAGAATCTACTTTATACCATGTAATTGCTATACAAACCCTAGAATGGGATGAATGGTGTTACTAAACCTTTAATTGGTTTTCTAACTGCAGGTCTATCACAAAGTAGCAAAAATTAATTAGGGTCTCTCCCTATTTAGTCTGTTGTCTCTTGTGGTAAGAAAAGTGGGGGGAATCACCTTTTGGTTTTAATTGTCAAACCTTTCCCAGTGCTTTGAACATCATAACTAACTAAAACTATCCAGTAGATGCAGCTGGGAAACTGCATGTTGTTCACTGGCAGACACACATATGCTTTACAAGTAAATAGCCCCAATATCAGCCCCTACAATGTCCCATTAAAAGGTTATACAGTGTGGACCCTCGACTTACAGACGGCTCGACTTACAGACTTTTCAACTTGCAGCCACCATTCCAATACGGATTAATTCCTTAAGTAGAGGGTCCACTGTAACAGGAAGCCCAAGAAAGGTGTCTCCTAAGCTTTTGAAAGATACTGTCAGTGTGGGTAGACTGCACTCCAGGTGGACCCACATCTCACTAAGACACCTTCATACGTTTAGGCAACCAAGGCAAATCAGAAGAGGAGGAGGAACTCATCATCCACTGAGTTGTTTCTCCTCTCTCACTGATACATCTGTTAAATAAATGAAATGTTGTAAATTGTGCTTCTGTGTCTCTACAGGGAGTTTGGTCAACTCTCCCAGTCAATGAAAAAAAGCTCAATACTGCCTTCAGATCGGCAAGAAGTGTTATCTTGATATTTTCTGTGAGAGAGAGTGGAAAATTCCAAGGTAAATAAGAGGAAGTATTTACATTCAGAGTTAATCTGAAATTAATTGTTCATTTGGCCTCATGATGATGTTTTGATTATTCTAGGATTTGCAAGGCTTGCTTCTGAATCCCATCATGGAGGATCTCCCATACATTGGGTGTTGCCTGCAGGAATGAATGCAAAAATGTTGGGAGGCGTGTTTAAAATAGATTGGATATGCAGGTAAAATGATGAAATAGATTGGATATGCAGGTAAAATTGGTGGAAAATATGAAAATGATTTTCTAGAGAGTCTTGCTTTGGAGGATTTAAATTTTTAAATTTCCCAGATGTATCTTCAGAACAGACTGATACCTTTTTGGAGTCAATTTGGTGTAGTCTCACGATATCTGAGGCTAAAGGCCAGCATCACTATTTTTTCTGTTAATAGCTATACTTGGAGTGAAGGGTGAAATTTTTAACAAGGTAAAGGTTGGGGACAGGCATTACAATTTCCTCATGTACTGTTATCTTAGTGAAAATTGGTTTTCCTTATTGTTTAAAAAATACCAATTAGTGTGGTTGCTTTCCTTTGAATCACTATGGGGCAGGGCCCTCAGCCCTGTCCTTCCATCCACTTACTATAAGTCTTGGGAGTATCAGACAAAAAAAAAAGGAGAGAGAGAGAGAGAAGGAGACAAAACATTGTGGCATCTTAAAGAGCAAATGCTATATTTTAATGTGAGCTTTTGTGGATGAAGTCTACTTCATCAGACATGGAACTTGATTCATGAAAACTCAAATTAAAATATAGCAGTTACTTCATCAGACATGGAGCTTGATTCATGAAAACTCAAATTAAATATAGCAGTTAGCCTCTAAGATGCCACAGAATTTTTGTCTCCTTGTTTTTTGGTTTTAATTTATTTTCAGACTAAAAATAGTAGAAGCTTGGGCAGCTTTGCTGCTGGGAATGAAGATTGGCATGCATCTGCAAGTTACAGAGCGCATTTCCCCCTCCTTCCAATCCCAATCCCTGAAATTAAGCTTTTCAGTGCTATGCATTGGATTGATATCTTGCTAAAATACTAAAATGCAATGACAAGAAGCAACAACTGGACATCCAAACTGGTTTTGCCATTTTTCATCTGCGATAATCTGAAGTGTGGTAGGCATTCCATTCTTTCCTCCCCTCAGCTCAGAACCAAACTCTTGAAAAATCAGACTGACTTCCAGTACCAAGGAAAGCTTGTTTCTTTTGCTGTAAAATCTGAGCTTATTTCAACTCCTACTGATTACTATAGGAGAGGGGAGGGGACACCAAGATGTGATCCTTCCCCAACCCCTCTGAAGTACTTCCTCTGTATCCTGTCCGAGCCCTTCTCCAGCTAGGTTTATTTTTGTATGCTGGATGCAAGGATCACTAGGCAATATAGTTTTTCTAACTATATTGGCAAACCATATAGTGCCCTAAACTATATTTTCTAGCATATTTTTGCTTTATTAGGGGTAAATAAATCTCTTCTGTCTATTGTTAGAGCACTGAGAAAGATAGGGGTAGTAAGATACTTTAAAAGATCCTAAGGATAAAGGGAAATATTTAGTTCCTCTCTTGCTCAAATCTTAATCAGAGCCAGAGAAGAACTTTTGGGCTTATAATTTGTGCTTCTTACTGAGATGTCCATTACAAATGTGACTTCATTTGTTTTCCAAGCCGCACTTGAAATATGTTCAAATCTATCATTACTCATTATGATAGTGTATTTGGAAATTTATGTAAGGTTCTAAATTAAAATATGTTGCACATGTTTCTTTTATGCTTAGACGTGAATTGCCATTCACAAAGTCTGCTCACCTGACCAATCCTTGGAACGAACACAAACCAGTAAAGATTGGACGAGATGGACAGGTTTGTCTGTCATCTTTAACTCTACTTCAGCATATTAATCCAGTGGTTTAAAGGTTCTGAATAAATTTATTCTAACTTTGTTTCATGATATATCAGTCCACATTTGCAAAAATATGAGCTGTTAATCTTAGATTCAAGAAGTTGTAGATTAACAGTAATAAACACTTTAACTATCTTGTAAAGACGCTTTGGAAGCTCAGTCATATTTTTAAAACAAAGATCTTGGGCTGCTTTTTGCCACAAAATTGTATGATATGAAAACTTGAGGTACTATTAATTTTCACATTCTCAGCCCTCTAGAGTGAGAGATCCTGTTGAGTAAAAAATAGAGACCTTTGCTGTGAGCAATGAAGGAAGAGCTATTTATTGCCATATTTTCAGCCATCTAAGTGAGATCATTCACTTTGAAGGAAAAATAGGGACTTTTCCCACAAGCAGTGAAACATGGTTGAGAAGGGAATTAGAGGACAGAAGTGATAAGCTTTACAAACTGAGATCTCTTGAGAAAACAGTTACTATCCAATTGTATCAAATACAGATGTTTACAATCTGTTTTTTGAAAAAAGCTGTAACATCATTTGTCATTTGCTGCAATTATCACTGCATAATAATAGTGAGTTAAACCTATGCTTTATGCCTTCCTTGTTCCATCTTGGTCTTCAAATGTACTCAATTCAGTAAGGACACATTTATCTAACCTACTATTTATGTGTGCTAGTGAGCCTTTGATCTATATATTCCAAGCTTCACTTACTGATTAAGGTAGGTGATACTACTCTTTCCTTAAAAATCAATGTGTTTCTAGAAGTCCATCTTATTTCTACTAATGAGCTGAAGTGATACATTACATCTCATTTTTCATAGTTCAATGTACTGCTGTAAAATATGTCAGGAGAGATTTACTTTCTTCTATCCACAAGATTGGCTGTAAAATTTCAAATATGCCAATTTGATTACGTAAAATCAATGTTTAACTGTTCCAGGAAATAGAGCTTGAATGTGGAACCCAGCTTTGTCTCCTATTCCCTCCTGATGAAAGTATTGACTTGTATCAAGTGATTCATAAAATGCGACACAAGAGAAGAATACACTCTCAACCCCGATCAAGAGGACGGCCATCCCGTCGAGAGCCGCTCCGAGATGTGGGAAGGTTAGAAAAGTTCTTTGGACTGATAATAGGCACATGTATCAGAATAACCTGATGGAGGAATATGATTCATCAAAAAGCTTTCCCTGCAATCAAGAAAAGAGAAAATCAATGTATTCTCGAGAAAATCCTCACATCAAGCTGCATGGACGGGTTTGTGGCTTCATTGAGGATTTCACACTGTCCCCCCTCTCCAGTTGGTCACATTCAAGAGGATAATGGGGGCCTTTTGTTTATTCAGAAAATAAGTTTTCATAAGTCTAGCTTAGACTAGATCTCTGCACAGATTATGCAGATTTGTTGTTGTAGGTAAGCGGATTTATCGTGAGCTGGCCAGGTGGAGGAAGTTCAAGTCTGTGTTCCAAAAATGTGTTAATATCTTGTAAAAGCCTTTTCTTTCAGGTGTATCTCTGGATAAACCTTGTCAAATATGGGACTTTTATCAGGATCACTTATAATATTGCAGAAGATCGCCTCATTTTGAGGATAAAATATTTATAATATTTTGCTGTTCAAGAAGAGCTTGTTTGGGACTGTTTCAAATTGTATCACCGTCCTGTGGTTAAGCCCATTACCAAATATTCTCTTACATCTTGCTGAGCTTCTGGAAGCCGTAGGTTCTCTCCAAATGGGGAGGAAGTAGCCCTTGGAGACCCGGCAACAAACCAAAAAGAATGGCTGTTGCTGTGTCTGTGTTCACAACCTTTCCAGATGCTGCCAGCACCTGTGGACTTAAAAGTGGTTTTAGAGGATCGCCATGGTTATTGATCACTGCTCTGTGAACTTTCCAACATTCCCCAGAAAAGAGGGGGTATATCTTGTTACAGAATTGGAGAAGTCTTTGCAAAGGACTGATATAAGCCCTTCTATCCAGCACGTTTCCCCGATCCCTGTGTAGCCACTTTGCTTTCTGATAAATCTAAAGCTTTTCTGCTAAAGACTGTGTGGTTTGGGCTGACACCTTTTGGTTAAAGTTTCCTGTTTGTGGAAACATCCTGTGGTAGGTACAGATACCCAACGAGTCCCCATATCCTTGCACTTAAAGGACATTGTAACCTGTAGGTAGGAGGAATCCTGGCAGCACTCCCTTTTCTTTGGGCATAAGAGGACTGAGCACCAAGATGGCTTTTGAAGTTAAGCCTAAGAGGTTTCCAGTGCAATAAAGTATTTACAAGTGAAGGTTTTGCAATGGACTGCAAACTATACATTATACATCACACCTTCTCAAGCCTGCCAGGGCCTCCATTTATGTATGTGGCTTTCTGCTTAAAGTCAGTAGTTGGACTACTATATGAACTGTTACTATCATATATTATACCGGTCGTAAGTGCACACTCAAACTACAAGAAAGCGGTATGTTTATTCTTTACACCAGCTCTTATTTTCTAAGTCTTTTATTAATGTACATGCAGTTGCTTTATTTGCTCAGAACTGTGATATCTTAAATAGTAATAGATTCTGATGGGAGGAGGGAGGAGTTAACTTTCTTTGGTCTGTATTTATGTTTCTCATTTGTAGAAAGTGGAGTTTTGGTTGAATATTTCCGGGGGGGGGGGGGGGCATTAAGTGACCTTCTTATGGTGAGCAAAGTAAAACTCAGAATAGCAAGTAGACAATAGCCCATTCAAAAACCAAACTCAACTATTTCAGCTCATTATATGAATTTTAAGTGTTGAAGTCGACACCCAAGAACATAAACATATTAACGTGTGCCGTATTGTACAGATTCTTTGGTTTGGCTAGTAATTCTGTGTGTAGGGAGGGTGGGATTGCATGTGAGAAACGTAGCATTTTTCATAATCCATGTCAGACAGCTTATAGGCTCAGAACAAATCTGTAAAATACTGTTTTCCAATTGTGTGGCTTCATTCTTATAAGATAAACCATAAGAGTTGCATAAGTTACAAACACGTTCACATTTGGTTTGTATTCAGTTTTATGCACCTTTGTGGGTAAGCCTCAGAGAGGTGAGTGGACCTTCTGAAGAAATATGTATTGATTTGGACTGTTAGAGGGTACAGTTGAATTATATTCTATGTAAAGAATCCAGAGGTTTTCACAACCAAAAACATCAATTAAGAGAATCTGTTGTTTGAAGACGCACACGCAGAGCCCTGAGGAGGTAATCGTGGGGCAAGTCCTATTCCTTCTGAAGGTGTTTTCTTTGTGACAGTCACTCCAAACTGTTGTGTAATTATTGTCTAATTTATGTAGGCGTCGACCAGAGGATTATGATATTCATAACAGCAGAAAGAAACCAAGGATTGATTATCCCCCTGAATTTCACCAAAGACCAGGTTAATATCTCATTATTATGTATGTATGTGTTTACAGAATCTTTATGGCAAATATTTGAGTCTTAAAACTTCTGATAGTAATAATTTCTGATGGTGAGAATTTGATGCAGAGTCAGCATCTTTGGCAGGTCCAGGGCCAGTCCTTTTAGCTGAGGGGAAAGGGCCAAAAGATTTCTCTGTTTTGAAATAAGCTGCAGTGCACCATTGTTCTAAAGGAGGATTCTGCGGTTGGGAGTACTGTACAGGTTTTTTTATTGAATATCTTTTGGCAGCATGGAGACTGAACAAATAGAGTGAGAACCTGCTTGTGGGACACCTAGGAGATCATGGAAAGACCACCTCATTAAGATGCCTACCAGCCTAGAACAGGGACAAAACTGGTCGTCTTTGAATGAATATATCAGCATCTGAAGTAGATGCATTTTAAATGGCTACACTGGGTTTGCATCGATGCATAGGTGAAATCTAGACATCAGATTGTTTTAACTATTCAGTGTTACATCTGGAGTTTCATATATTTTACAGGCCGTTCCTTTAATTTCACGCATCTCATACAATTCATGCATCTTTGGAATTTGCTCTGTTTTGGTGTTTGAGAACTAAAACTATTTTTTTAAAAACCATTGGTTGCTGTGACCACCATTGGAAATGACAGAATGATAATTGTTTATGCGATGTGCAGAATGATAACTTGTTAGTGACAAGACAGTAGCATGCGTCAGATAAAGATGCTAATGACTGTTTGCATTCCCATGTACAGTAGTTGTAAACATGATATATAATGCTGCTTGATTTTAAACAGGGTATTTAAAGGATCCCAGGTACCAAGATGTAGACAGGTAAGATATATTTAATATTACATGTTATGTGTTATAATATTTTAGCACTGGCATTTAATTTAACAACTGGTGTTCTCTACAGACGATTTTCTGGAGTCCGGAGAGATGTCTTCTTAAATGGGGTAAGTTTGTTCCCTGTTCTTAAGCTCTAGATGCTTTCACAGTTGGCCTATTTTTGATTCCCACGTGTGTTTCTTTTTTCAGTCCTACAACGATTATGTGAGAGAATTTCACAACATGGGGCCACCACCACCCTGGCAAGGAATGGTTTGTAAATTTTGTACACTTTCCCCCCACCATGTCACATTTGAGTACAGTCACATCCATTAGAAGGAGGCAATAGTTTCCATAGTTTTTATTAAAATATTGTCTTTTTAAGGTTTAGTTTGAAGCTGCATTTGAATGTTGCTGTGGAGAATCTTATACTATTATTTTTTATGAATCTAAGTTTATAGTTGTAAAGTGACTAGGCTAAGGGAACTGATACAGATACTGCTCATGGGAAGGAAGATGTACTACAGCATCTCTTGGCTCTCTCAGCTCATAATGTATGATGTTAACGCATGTGTGACATAGGTAATAGCCACAATACTTGATAGTTTAGCTTTCATGTGGCCATTACATGACACTTAATAGAGTATGGAGTGGTACAGATTTGATTTAGGGCTTGAATGAAACCAGTGCTCAAACCAGTGAATAAGATAATGATCATAATAAAATCAGTAACTAAGACCCCCTCCCATCAGTTAAGCAATGAAAGTGGTAGAAAAACAGCATCAAAGAGCTGTTTGGAAGGAGATCTGACCCTATAAGTCTCTAAGAGATTTAATGTGTGCCACTCTCAGTGACAGTGTTTTTAGATTTGCCTTGGTTTTGTTCAGGTCGTAAGCAGTGCTTGCTTGAAATAAATCTGAACACTTTGGAAGGATCTGAAACTTTTAAAAGTGAAATTGGCTTCCAGCTGTGGCAAAAAGTGAGGGACTTAGGTACAGGGAAGGGAGCAATCTGCAAGGTTCTTTATGGGGTCCCAGATCTGTAGCACATGTGTGTTAGAAGGACTGTGGATGTGGGACAGATTTCTGGTTAGTATGCAAAAGTGTAGAGTAGCAACATGAGTGCCCTGCAATGCAGAATGGAGTGCCTCTTTGCTCTGCATCTCCATTCCAAAAACTGGGTGTTTGCTAGAACTCCCTGTCCAATGAGTTCCATCCCCATTATTCCAAGGGGATTTACCCCATGTGTCTCATGACAAGGGTATTCCAGAATGTTATAATGAGCTCGTATCAGATTGTTCTGTTGGTTTTCTAAAGCATAGGACTGTTGAGTTGTTCCAACAAACTACCATCCAAATTTCAAACAAAACAGCAATATAAGACACCTCAGCATCACAATAATGTCTGCTCCTAAGTAGCATTAATTTTAATCTTGTATAAAGTCCGTCTCACAAATTTACATGCTTCTGCATCTCTGCAGTATGAGGATGCCATTTAAGAATTGGCTATCCCACAGTATACTTGCAAGTGACAACCAAGCCTGAGGCTAATTGGGCTGGGAGAGATATGTAAGCACCATTGCTTGTGCAGCATTCCTAGAGCATTGATTATGCTTGGGTCTCCATATAGCTGTGTTTGGGTAAAAGAAAATGTGGGATTCAGCCATTTGGGGGGGACTTCAAATATAGACAATTGTTTTATTGTTCCTCTTGTAAACAAATTTGGTCCACAGCTTGGAAAGTTACTTCTTAAAAGTAATGTACTGTATCCCAGTTACCCATTATACTGTTTTGTAAATAACTTACTGCTGTTGCTTGTTACAGTGTTGAAGTAATTTTATTCAGTAGTTAATGTGCTGATAGTTTGTCATTGCTTTCCACTACTTTAAAAAAATCTTAGGATTGATAAGGGAATGGTATAAAACTTTTTTAAAAACGCCCAGAATGTCTTAAAACTCCTTTAATATAGTTGCAGAAGGCGAAAAACATTGTTCGTTACATCAGTAAAATAAGTAATCCTAGTCATTACATACAGTGGTGCCTCACTTGACGATTGCTTCGTACAACGAAAAATTCACTTAACGATGGCTTTTTTGAGCGATCTTGTGCTTCACTTAACGATTTTCCCTATGGGCGATTTTCGCTTAACGATTTCGGGACCATGCTTCGCTTAACGATGACAGTTTTAGGTCCCCTTGTTTCGCGTAATGTTTTTTTTACAGCCCCATTCTTGCTATTTTTAAATATTCTAAAATGTTTAAAAATGTTTAAAATGCTTTGAATCTTTAGTGCACCTAATAAAACCTTCGTTAACTTAATTTGGCTTTGTTCTGAGTCTCTTTGAATTTTTTGTGTTGAAGTAATTTTATTCAGTAGTTAATGTGCTGATAGTTTGTCATTGCTTTCCACTACTTTAAAAAAATCTTAGGATTGATAAGGGAATGGTATAAAACTTTTTTAAAAACGCCCAGAATGTCTTAAAACTCCTTTAATATAGTTGCAGAAGGCGAAAAACATTGTTCGTTACATCAGTAAAATAAACAATCCTAGTCATTACATACTTCCAAAGGTAACTGCATAACTGCATTATAGTATTGTTGCCCCAAAATTAACTAGTTATAAGTGACTGATTTACTTTGAACTCAGTACTTCCAAAATCTAACAATCCTAGTCATTACATACTTCCAAAGGTAACTGCATTACAGTATTGTTGCCCCAAAATTAACTGGTTATAAGTGACTGACTTACTTTGAACTCAGTACTTCCAAAATCTAGTCTAGTCCCAATGATACATTATCCCCAAACAGGTGAAGTACAAGGTGTGGTCTTGACCTTGAAATAAAGCACATCATGTTTATTTTCAGTTTTTGTAGCCTGGGAAAGATCACAGGCTTGTGATAGAGAGTCTAATCCCAATGATACATTATTCCCAAACAGGTGAAGTACAAGGTGAGGTCTTGACCTTGAAATAAAGCACATCATGTTTATTTTCAGTTTTTGTAGCCTGGGAAAGATCACAGACTTGTGATAGAGGTGTAAATTTGGAAACTTTGGTACTAGTTTTGGGGAAAATAGAGTTTAGAGGAAAAGCTGAAATATGTGCAGCATTTTTTCTTTGCAGTCATACCACTGATTTAAAGCTATGGAATTTTTTGTGTAGAGCAACATAGACAACCTGGTGCTTCAGATATTTTTACCTACAACTCCATAATCCCTTGACCATTGGTCGTGATAGCTAAGGCATTTAGGAGTTGAAACTGTATTAATATATACTGGATAGTATTGGTGTTGGATTTATCATGTGTGAAATGACAATTTCAAAGACGGTTTTCGCTGTATTGTAAGATCATTGCTGTTCCATACATAGTAAATCCAGAAGAATACTGGCCAACATTTATAGGGATTTACATAATTACATATACAGTGGTGCCTCGCATTACGATGTTAATTCATTCCAGCAAAATCGCTGTAGAATGAAAACATCTTAAAGCGAAATTAAAAAGCCCATAGAAATGGATTAAAACCTGTTTAATGCGTTCTGATGGACTTAAAACTCACCATCCAGCAAAGATCCTCCATAGGGCGGCCATTTTTGCTGCCTGTCTTGTGAGGAATCCGTCCCTAAACACAGCGGGGAGCCATTTTATTTACCCGGCGGCCATTTTGAAACCACTGATCAGCTGTTGGAAAATCGTCGTTTTGCGAAGAATTGGTTCCCAAAGCAGGGAACCGATCATCGTAAAGCGAAATTCCCCCATAGGAAACATCGTTTTGCGACCGCAAAAAGTTCATCATAATGCGATTTTGTCGTTAAACAAAGCAATCGTAATGCGAGGCACCATTGTAAACTGTTGGATAAGGAGTGTGGCCAGATATAATATTTGTAACATTGATCCATATGACAGCGCAGTCCTGGACATGTTTGTTCAGAAGTGACCCTGAGTTCAAAAGTGCTTACCAATGGAATAAACTGTATAGATTGGCAGTTACAATACCTGAACATGGCTTTTAAAAATAATTACAGATACATTCTGGCTCAAATCCAGTTGTGAAGCTCCATGTGTACAGCAGGGATACAATGGTGCCTTGCAAGATGATGTTATTCGTTCCGCGAAAATCGCTGTTTAGTGAAAACATCGTCTTGCGAAATGCAGTTCCCCATTGGAATGCATTGAAATCCATTTAATGCGTTCCAATGGAGAAAACAGTCATCCTCTTGTGAAAATCGCCCACAGGGAAAACCATTTTGCGAAGCGCGGACCAGCTGTCAAAATCGCTGTCTTGCAAAAATCGGTCCCTAAAAAAACTGTTTTGCGAGTCACGGACCTAGGTGTCAAAATTGTCATCTTGCGAAAAACGGTCCCGGGGGGGGAACCGTCTTGCAAAACACAGACCAGAAAACAGTCATCATCTTGTGAAAATCGCCCACAGGGAAAACCGTTTTGCGAAGCGCGGACCAGCTGTCAAAATTGTCTTACGAAAAACGGTCCCGGGGGGAACAGTCTTGCGAAGCACGGACCGAAACATCGTCCAGCAAAAATCGCCCATAGGGAAGACTGTTTTGCGAAGCTCTATAGCGATTGCAAAAACTCATCAGCTTGTGAATAAACAGCTTTGCGAGGTAATCGTCTAGCGAGGCACCACTGTAATGTCATAACAAAATGGCAAATTGCTGTTAATTAAAAGCAGATAGCCACTATTATATGCGACATCAGGTTCACATGACTTTTCCATAATGCAACAATCACATTTACCTCAAAATCACCTAAGGAAACCTTTAATCATTATTTACATTTATTGCTGATGTCATCACCTTGCACACACACACGCACAGTTGCACAAGAGGATCTCAGTGAAATACAGGAGGAGCCTGGAGGTAGTTATGCAAAGGCCTTGTCATTGGTTTCATGTAACAAAATACTTAAATAGACTTCAAGGTCATTCAGAATGTTGTGTTCTGTATTGTCTGAAAGTACTTTTGCCAACATCCAAATTTATTTTTCTGAGCCTTAAAAATGGTCCTTTGTCCAGTAACCCACTTGAACACTAGCGATGGTGTCATTACTAGTGCAGCCTTGGAGGCATGAGATCTGAAGCACTGGTTATAAAGATGTTGCTCTAAAATACTTTTCAGATATTTCACTCTTGAAGTGAAAATTTCTCTACATTTCCCATTCTCTCTCTCCCGCCCCCAAATTTGAACCCTCAGGCAATAAATGTTTTCCCTGGAGTTTTTCTGGATTTCTCACCCTGTTTTTCATATGTCCTGTGCTTTGCGTAAGATACTGATTGGAATCGAGTAGCATAACTTATGCTGTGTAAGGCTGATAACATCATCAGCCAGAGTGGTTCTCAGAATTTGAAATTTTTTTTGATTCACCACTGCTCTCTTTCATTGTGGGGAAGTCATTGGACAACACAGGGCTAGAGAGGAAGTTATTTAACTTCTAAAAATGGCTAGTAAGGTAAAGGATCCCCAAGACAAATTGTCCAGTTGTGTCCGACTCTAGGGGCAGTGCTCATCCCCATTTCCTAGCCGTAGAACCAGCGTTTGTCCATAGACACTTTCTGTGGCCAGCACGACTAGACATGGAACGCCGTTACCTTCTCACTGTGGTGGTACCTATTTATCTACTCACCTTTTTACATGCTTTCGAACTGCTAGGTTGGCGGGAGCTGGGACAAGCGACAGGAGCTCCCTCCCTCACCTGGATTCGATCTTACGACTGCTTGGTCTTCTGATCTTGCAGCACAGAGGCTTCTGTGGTTTAACCCGCAGTGCCACCACGTTCCTGTAACACCAGCTTAGGGACTCTAGGGAGCGGTGCTTATCCACGTTTCCAAGCCGTAGAGCCAGTGTTTGTCTGTAAATAGTTTCTGTGGTCACGTGGCCAACGCGACTAGACATGGAACGCCGTGACCTTCCCACCATGGTGGTACCTATTCATCTACTCACATTTCAACATGCCTCCAAACTGCTAGGTTGGTAGGAACTGGGACAAGCGACGGGAGCTCATTCTGTTGCATGGATTCAAACTGCTGATCTTTCGGCTTTGCAGCCCAGAGGCTTTGCAATTTAACCTGCAGTGCCACCAAATTGCTACTGTCAGATAAATCATCCCAGTGGACGCAGTTTTTGGGAATTAAAGACAACAGACAGCAACTGATTCCCCACAAGGGAATCTCGAGAACTTTTGAAGCACTGCTGGATTTAAGCCACTGTGACTCCAACTATATTGTGCAGATATATTTTTATTTTTGCAGTTGGATCAAAATTGAAGTGTGTTTTTACATGGACTGTAGCTTTGTGTGGTCAGTGATGACCCCATTAAGAAATACTCCTCCTAGCATTCTTGCAACCTTTTATTTTACTTTGTAGAACATAGCCTTTGATTCCGTGAATATGCTGAGTACCAGTGTAATTCTCCAAAAGGTATTTTATTTCTTGAACATGAAGAGTTTTGTGTGTGTCTACACAGATAACAGTGATTACAAGTGCTTCCAGAGAAGGCTTTTTTATGCACAGTTACTCTTCCTTTTAAGAGAATACTGGAAACCAGACAACTCTGTCTTCTGTTCCTGTGTTCTACCACCACATTGATCTTTTTTCTGATCACAGAAAATCCATTAAGGCAGAAATGTCAGAATAGCTGCACAGAATGTTTTGTTAATATTGGAACTGTCCACATGGAAGCATTGTGTAAACCACTGCAGTTCTTCCTAACTTCAGTTATGAAAATGTGGGGGTTTTGTGCACATTTGGACAAGTAATTACTCTGAAATATAAAAAAGCATTTCGGCATCATTTCAGAGCAGTCTATCTTTGAAACACTTTGTTTATAGCCATGTGATCCATTTCCATTTGGGACAGGCAATATTTATACTTGAACCTTAGAATCTTGGATGCATAAGATCAGCAGAACAGTGATCTAGTAAAGGTATTGCCTAACCTGGTGTTTCATTAATTATGATAGCATTATAATATTCTTCTAGATTAATGTTCTCAGGATGAAACATAATCAGAGTAATATATCATTGTTTCATGTTCTCAGGAGGGAACATAATCAGAGTAATATATCATTGTTTCTTTTTAGCCTCCTTACCCAGGTATGGAACAGCCTCCCCACCACCCTTATTACCAGCACCATGCTCCTCCTCCACAAGCTCACCCGCCTTACTCAGGGCACCATCCAATACCACATGATGCACGATATAGAGATAAACGAGTGGTAAGTGCATTCTGAAGGGTTTTGAATTATGTCATATAGAGAAAATACTCTCATATAATATATCAGCCCTGGGACATTCATTATTCTGGTTCGGTTTTTTAAACAGCATGTTTTAGAACTGTCATCTGGGCTTAAAGACTATGTTGACAGTGTCAAGAGGAAGGAGAAGGGAGAGTTGCACTTGACAAACTTGTTTGTCACCTCCCTAGTTGACTCTTCGTAAATCTGTTGGGGGGGGGGATGAACATTTTGTTTTCTTTTATTTCTGTAGTGACCTAGCCTTGGATTCATTTAACAGCTTATTACCCTAGTGAAATGGACTAGCTTTGTAAATTTCATGTTTCCTATGGAAGCTCCCAGATCAGAAAGAAGCTGGTGGGGGAGAGTGATAAGATGTTAACAGCATTTGTCATTTCACCTGTGTCTGAGCCTTTGTGATAGATAAAAATGGGTTAGCAGTGCAGCAGTTACTGCTAAATACTAAAATTGAAAGACATATTTAAAAAAACAACAACAGAATAATTGTTCAAAGGAGAATCAGTGTCAGTGTCACTGTATGATATGTCCCCTGACTCCTCTGGACTGAGATAAGTGATCTTGCACATAAGAAAAGGAGAATAAGTAATGGCAGTGGACTAATTACAAAATAAACAATTTGAACAAAAAAATACTAATGCCACTGAAAAAGTGCAGGCTTCTGCACAATTAGCTTTATCTCAGGTAATCACTGGAAAATGCTCAGTACATTGAGCATTTTCTTTAAATATTAAAGCTAGCTTTCATTTGGAACAAATCTGAAAAGTTGAAACTAATCTGAGTTAATAGATGCCTGTAAAATGACAATCAAAATATGTGCTAGGCAAGTATTAGAGATGATGTGGGTTTGCATGTGTTACAGGCCTATTCTAGATTTATGCGTATCCAGAAGAGCATGTCAGTTGAGCATTGCTTCTTCCTCTCTTCAAATCTGTTTCTGTTTTTCTTACAGTAAGGATAACTGGAGTATCAGTCTGTAGATCAGTTGTGCCTCTCAGACCACATGCCCATACACACTCTTCAGGCCTCCAAAATAGTTCTAAATTAGAATTCAGACTTCTGAAATTACATTATACTAAGAATTTTTCTGTTTCCCACAGCATGACTATGATATGAGGGTGGATGACTTTCTACGTCGGACACAAGCAGTTGTCAGTGGCCGAAGAAGCAGGCCTCGAGAACGGGAGAGAGATCGTGAACGGGATCGGCCCCGAGATACAAGAAGAGATCGAGATCGTGACCGGGGCAGGGAGAGGGAGAGAGAAAGGCTATGTGATCGGGACAGAGACAGAGGAGAAAGAGGAAGATACAGAAGATAATGCATTTTGAAATTGCAATCACTTAAAGAGGCAAAGGCTTGTATATTTGTGTGTTTACAAGTAGTAAACTTTTATTTTCCTCTGTCAACCTACTTTATTGTGTAGAAAAATTTCTAATTGGCCTTTTATTCCAAGCATGCAGTAAGCTGTGAACTGGAAAATCCCCATCAGCCAAAAAATATTTTGCAAAGCTTGACCCATGAGTTGATTATTTTTATTTGAGCAGTCTTGGAAAACAGTTTAAGGAATGTAGATAAATTATCTCTGTGTGTTTGTCTTAACAGTAATTTAATCACATTTTTTTAAAAAAATACAAATTGATAACTGCCATAATATTTTGGTCTGTTTTCTTCCATGTAGTCTTTACACAATTTGTATGGGAGGAAAATGCTGCTATCAAGTATGCAAATACTGAGTGTGATGGTATGGCTGCATGGCCATGTTGGAGCAGCCACCTCTTTGTTTTTCTGGTTGTTGGTTTTTTTTAACTTCTGTAAAAGTCAAGCTTGTTCAATAATGAAAGCAATATTAAGACAATGATATTGATACCTGATTTTTAACCTTTGAAAAACTGTGTTCCTACGTTCTGGTGGCATTTTGGTTCATGCAATTATTTGCCTCTCCCCTTCCTTTATTTCCTTGAAATGTCTATGTTGTTTAAAATGTCCACCCATTTGTAAGAACACATAATATTGCTGTATTCTACATTGCTACCATTTCTTTCTTTTTTTATATAATAAATCGGTAATGGTCAGTTTCATGGATTTTCATGCATTATGGCTTGCAATTAAAACAAAAAATACTGATTTGAAAATGTTACTTAATGTCTTCCTCAACAAAATGCAGGAAGCATTTTGTACTGGATTTGTACTAGATTTTTGCCTCACTTCAAATGAGGTAGTGATGCCTGAGATGAACAGAATTTGCATCTTTAAAATTCCATTTGAGGTTTGTTGTTGTTGTTTTAATATAAACACCTAGGAGTTTTGTTAGACAAATCACACAGAAAGGTCCAGGAAAGTTAAAAGCTTGAAAGCCACTGACACAATGTAAGGAAGTTCTTCTCGAGCCGGGGGGGCACTAGTGGTGAAGGCGGGAAAAAGGCACGGAGGTTCGTCATAAAATCCAACATTAGTAGTTTTATTGTTTACAGCACTCAATTCTTGTGGATCAAACGGATCCTGTAACAGGCAATCATCTAACAAATGGTATTTCTTTGAACGAACAACAGGAGGCATTTCTGTATCACTTAGAAAGGGGCCGGTCCGAATCTCTCGCGATCGGTCATAGGACGAAGGGGGGCACGCCGAACGGCACAGACCGTTCCGCAACAAGGGTGCCTCGCCCAATCTCCCTCTGGGGGTTTCTTCTGAAACTCGGGTCCAGGGCGTATGACCCTCCCACCAGGGTAGTTTCGCGGATGTACCGTTACCGTCCATTCTAGAGGCTCGTAAAACTTCCCTGGTCCTCTGGGAAAGTTTGGGTCTGGCAACAATCCCCCACCGGTAGTCAGATTAGGAAAACCCGCCGCAGCTCCGACTGGCGTTTCGAAGCCAAGCATAGGTTCCATTTGAACCCCTCGGCTCTTACTTCTCTCCTCATTCAAGCCGGTACAGATCCTAAAAGCCTGCGCGTTTCCCCCCCCCTTTTATATCCTCCCAGACTATCAAATCTAACTCCTCCCCTCCTTCCTCTACAAGGCACACCTCCGTCAGTCTCTCAGTCACTACTTCAGTTTGCTCAATGTCAATTAATACCCCTACAGCGCACTCAGTCTCTTCTACTGTACGTCTTTTCTCGGAGGACGGCGCACTCCTCATCTCTCCTTCACACGCCCCCCCCTTCCAAGTGTGCCGTCCTCTCTTCCGTCTCATTTTCCTCTCCTTCCTGCCGAGAGAAATAGTCCGCGTTAGAATGAGCTGCTCCCTTCTTGTACTGTATCTGGAAGGAATAAGGTTGTAAACTAAGGTACCACCTAATCAACCGCGGGTTAGTGTCCTTCATTTGGTTTAACCATTGAAGTGGGGCATGATCGGCAGCCAAAGTAAACGGTGCTCCTAACAAATAATACTGGAGTGTTTGCATGGCCCATTTAACAGCTAAAGCCTCTTTTTTCTATTGTAGCATACTTCCTTTCCCGATCGCTCAGCTTTTTACTAAGATACATTATAGGGTATTCCAGATCTCCTTTTTTCTGGGATAAAACCGTGCCTATTCCTCTGTCAGAAGCATCTGTCTGAAGAATGAATGGAATATTAAAATCAGGAGCATATCTGTTCGGTAGGGCTGCTAACACTTCTTTTAGCTTATCAAAAGCAACTTGTTCTTTAGGACCCCACTCTAATCTGTTATTTTTTTCTCTTTTTTGTCAAATCTGTAAGAGGTGCTGCTATGTCGGAAAAATGAGGCACAAACTGCCTATAGTAGCCTGCCAACCCTAAAAACTGATGTATCTCCCTTTTGTTACGTGGGATGGTCCAAGAAACTACCTTGTCTACTTTATCTGTCACAGGCTGGATTTTTCCTTCCTCTATCTGAAATCCTAAGAATTTCACCCCTCTTCGTGCCACTTTACATTTAGATGGATTAATCCTCAGCCCAGCTTTCCCTATTTTGGTCAAAACCCTTCGTAGATGATAAACGTGTTCCTCCCATGTCTTGCTATAAATTAAAATGTCATCTATATATGCTCCGGCAAATTCTTTGACTGGTTCTAATACTTGATCCATTAACCTTTGAAAGGTCGCGGCCGCCCCATGCAAACCGAATGGCATCTTCGTGAATTGGAATAAGCCTTTGGGGGTAACAAACGCAGTCTTCTCCTTGTCTTCCTCTCTTCAGGGAATTTGCCAGTAACCTTTAGTGAGGTCGAGTGAGGTCAGATAGACTGACCCTCCCAACCTTTCTAACAAATCATCAACTTTAGGCATGGGGTAGGCATCAAATTTTGATATTTCATTTAACCTTCTAAAATCAATGCATACCCTCACCTGTCCATCAGGTTTTGGTACCAGGACAGGATAACTCCTCCAAGGACTGCGGGATGGTTCAATTATCCCTAACTTTATCATTTCCTCTACTTCTTTATTAATGGTGTCCCTCAAATGATAAGGCCAAGTCCTATCTCCCATTCGGGCTACTTTGCCTTGTACGGTACGTATCTCATGTTGTATTAGATTAGTCTCGCCTGGTCGTCCAGAAAACACATGTTCAAACTCTAGTTCTAATGTTTGTATATCCCGTTGTTGGTAATCTTCTAAAGAGTCATCAATGTCTAAATGTAAGTCCTCCCGCAAACATGTACTGACATCTGGGCCAAATTCTTCCTCTACTTCCCCCCAAAGGGCCTCCCTTTCTTTCCACTCTTTGAGCAAATTTACATGAAAAATACCTCTCTTCTTTGATTTATCATGCATATATATTTCGTAATCTACAGGGCCCACCTTTCTTATTACTTCGTAGGGACCTTGCCATGTGGCAAATAGTTTAGCTTGTTCTGAGTGTAACAATAGTAGTACCTTTTGTCCAGGTAAGAATTCTCTGATCTTTACCTGGTGGTCATACCTTCTCTTTTGTCCTGCTTGTTTTTGCCCCAAATTATCTTTGGCAATGCCCAATACAGTTCTCAAGTGATCATGCATTTCTATCACATGTTGTACTGTAAGTTGCGCCTCGTCAGGCCCCTCCTCCCATTTTTCTCTCACTAAGTCTAGTATACCTCTAGGGTTCCACCCATACATTAACTCGAAGGGGGAGAAACCTGTAGATGCCTGTGGTACCTCCCAGATGGCGAACATAAGAGGTGCTAACAATAGATGCCATCTTTTTGGCTTTTCCATCACCAATTTCCTTAGCATCCCCTTCAACGTTTTGTTAAAACGCTCCACTAATCCGTTGGTTTGTGGATGATAGACCGCAGTGTGAATGGGTTTAATCTCCAAAAGATGCCACATCTCCTTCGTGAGGCTCATGAAATTAGACCCTTGATCTGTTAAGATCTCTTTAGGGAATCCCAATCGTGCGAATATTTGCATTAGTTCTTTAGCAATCACCTTGGCTGTGGTGGACCTTAAGGGTATGGCTTCCGGATACCTAGTGGCGTAATCTATCAAGACTAATATATGAGTATGTCCACTAGCTGACTTAATCAGTAGTCCCACAATATCCAAACCAATTCTCTGAAAGGGATGATCCATCAAAGGCATAGGTATCATCTCAGCTCCCTTAGGGGTTTTTTTCTGAGTTTTTTGGCATAGGGGACACGTAACACAGTACCCCTTAATGTCTTTGTCCATTTCTGGCCATCAAAACCTCTGTCGAATGCGGGCTTTCATTTTTTCTTCAGCTAGATGTCCTGCCAATGGTATATCGTGTGCTAATTCCATCACCTTACTTCTCCATTTCAGAGGTACCACAAGCTTCCTATCTCCTTCTTTCTCTACCCAATACAGCAACCCACGTTCCAACTCCCATCCACTCTGACCCCTTACAATAGTTCCCACCGGTTGGGCTGCTAGAAGCGGTTCTTTCAAAGACATGTCGTCTTGCTGCATTGTTCTCACTTGCTCGCGCGTGGTTCGCTGTAAAAAATCGGACTGATCTTCAGCTGAGGAGTTTTCACCTTGCAAGCCTTCCTTAATCTTCCCCACATCTCGCGTGCCAACCCAGTCCCTCCCCAGCAACATTTCTCGAGAAAGTCCCGGCACAACCCCTATGTTCATTCTCCTCTCTTCTTTTCCCACCTTAATATTAGCCCAAATTGTTGGGTAATTTTTTAAGTCTCCATGAATACAGCGCACAATTAATCCCTCATCTTTCTTTTCCCCAGGCAGGTCTCTCACTAGCGTTTTACCGCAGCCAGTGTCTATTAACGCTTTTTTCTTCTCTCCATTAACTCATGCGTCTACCTCCCAGCGTTCCGAAGACCCTGTCTTTGTTGGGAAAGTCACTTCTCCTTGCCCCACCCACGAACAATCAGCCCCAGGGCAATTTTTTTTACGTGGCCAGGGACCCCACATCCGAAGCAAATGGGGCGCCCTTCCCTGCCCTTGCGTACCCCTGCTCCGGGATTGTAAATTGGACGTCCGTCTTTGCCCTTGCGCCAACCAGTCCCGGGGGCGTAGATGCGGTGATCCACCGTGATGGGCCTTACAGGTTTGGGGCCGAACGGCTCAAAAGACTTCCCCTTAAGCTTGGACGGTCCGCTCATCTCCGCACCCTTCCGCGCAGCCAAAATGGGAACCGAAAGCGAAGCTTCTCCACCATGCGGTTTAGGTTTCTCCGCCCAGGGGGCATTGCTCTCTTTCGCCGCTTCCTCTGTGAGGCTGTAATCCTCCAATAAAGAGATGGCTTTCTCTAGCGTCTTCGGGTTATTACGTTGAATCCAGCTCTTCGCGCCTGCTCCTAACAATTGCACTAGCTGTTCCAACACAATCATATCCACTACTTGCTCGCCACTTCGTTCTCCTGGTTTTAACCACCTAAGCGCATTAGCTCTCATTCGTTGAGCCACAGTACGGGGGTGAGAGTCTGGCCTCCATTTCAAGTCTCTCAACCTTTTTCGGTAGGTCTCTTCTGTAAGATTCAACGTACGCAAAATCGCATTCTTCACAATTTCATATTGAGTGGCTTCTTGTGTGCTAAGGGTATCCACCACCTCTTGTAATAATCCCGTGAGACAAGGGATCAAAATTAAGGTCCACTGTTCTCTTGGCCACCCCGCCGCCAGAGCCACTCTCTCAAAGGTGTGTAGGTATGCCTCTGG